CATTAATCTGTGGTGATCACTAAACAGACTAAAAGACACCACTGATTAAAACAGACCTGAGTATATAAAAATACAGGCATCACCTCAGTCTCAAGGATTTTTAAAAAACTCCATTTCCTGGACAGTACTAGAAAGTCTCTTCAAAGCACAACTTCTCAGAAATGGCTACCAAAGGGACTCAGAAATTACAGCTCTGGGATAAAACATGAGACACTACACAAATTCAGTCTACCTGGGGTTGATATTATCCACGTCTGTCTATTCCCAATTTCTGCAGTATAGAAAGTACAATGAAATTTTTAAGTTGAAATTTGTGCGTTACACTATTAGTGGGGGGAAAAAAACCCAACCAAAAATCCCTTTGCACTGAATTCAAAGGGCTGTGCTTCCCCACTCAATAGGATAAGAGATGTTTTACATTCTAGTGGGCTGCTTTGTGAGTACATCAGAGAGGATGCAAGATACTGAAACAAATTAATTGGACAATGCATGGAACAGATCTCTACCCACAGCCACTACAGCTAGAACTACGTAATATTTTCCACCAGTTTTTTTTTCTCTAGTTCATAACTTACCAAAAATAAGATACTGGAGGCTGACTTTTCTTCATTTAGAGATTTAGCAATAATTTCTGTTAGGCTGAGTATTAGAAACTTCATCACTAAAAGAACAGGACCAAGTATTTTACTTAAACATGAAGTGAGGGAAGCAAAACACGAAGATTTTGACAGGCCTTACAAGTTCTGTGAAGCTGTCATCAGGACAGGCTCAGCCAACATGAACAGGACTTTCATCAGGCATGTAAAGTTCCTAATTAATTAAAACTATCTGTGTTTGCAAAGCCAATTTAGCAGAAATTTACTGTGTTCATCAGCTGATCCCTGCAACTTCTGGAAGGCCAGAAGTGTTCAGAAGGGCTGGTTTCTGAAATGGAAAAATCTTTCCCTCCTATACAGTTCTAAGGGCTACAAGAATATCAGATGATCATCTAAGGCATTTTCTTTTACTGAGTTAAAGCATTTAAATGCCTTTTCCACCCTGCTGTGAAAGAGAGGTAGACTGGTGGTGATAGCAGTGAAGGAAAGGCTACAAATTGTGAAAAAAAGAACTTTCCTGGAAGTCAGGAAGGTTTGGGTGTTCCTCTGCACTGCTTCTGTACATTCCAATCCACCACTAAGTACATAGGAGCACACAACAATTCTGCAAAAATGAAAAAGGTGAAGTAAAAGTAAGTGCACAAAATCCCATGTAACCACAGAATCAGCAAGAGAATCACTGCTAAAAAAAGATGTTTCACTTTTCAATAGAAAATAGCATAGTTCACTTCACCAAGGAATGGAGAAAGTTTGGTGACACATCTGACACCACCAATTATCTTTCCACCAAACCACCTCATCTTTAAGCCACCTGAAGACAACACAGTTACCTGAGGCAACATTATAATACAGAATTTTTCTTTCCTTAGGAAAATATATTGGTCATGACAACAACATATTTGAAAAAATCATGCTGTGTTTTGTAGGCTGTAACCATGTCAAATGCAATTTCAATTTTAGCAAAAATTAAGAGAGCTGAGACTGTATATGAAGTTTTCATTCTCTCCTCTTTGTGTGGCAGCTTACAAGGAGTTTCAGCATTAATTTAAGGTCTAGAATTAAGCCAAAGGAACTGGATGACTCTGTGATACCAGCAGCAGAGTAAGACCAGGTCCACATCCACCCCCAAGAGAACAGAAAAAGCTTTTTTAAGAAGAGAAAGGCAGACCTTTAACAGGAGGTACAGGGGAGCTCTTGCTGCCACTGAAACACAAGCTAAGAGGACACTGGTGCATTAAATTCCACCAGATGAAGATATTGTCATTTCTACTCCCCCAGTTAAGATATGAGTACACCCTTCCCTGCACCACATTTTATTATTGAAGACTCCCGAAGAGAATCAACATCCAAAATCTTCAAGAAAATATATGAAAGATAAAAACAAGTACATGCACTGGAAACCAAAGTAGACTTACAAGTTTCAACAGTCTATTCACAATTTTTAAAGGGTAACTTAAAACTAAATTACAAGAAAATAACTTTAGCTCTACTAATTTAATGAAGTTGTTTTTTGGTCTAAAGAAAAAAGATGCAACTTCACATGCAAAACTATAATCAACTTCACATTTTCTCAGACAACTGCTGCTTCAACAATAAATTAGGACCTTCAAGATCAGGGAAAACTAAATACCTTTTCAAAGAATAAAAGAAATCTGTGGTATGCAAAGTTTAGAATTAATAAATACATTAAGACTGAGAAGTGCAAGTTCCAGAAGTTTATGCAGTTTTTAATCAAGTCTTTTAACTGAACGACAGTACTTTTATTATGTCACTCTGACATTTTTCTTCCTCCTGAAAAAAGGTATACCAAAAAGTAGCAGTATCAAGCTTTTTCTTTAAAAAAGAATTCCCTCTCAGATTTTCAGATTTTTTACTTTTCACACTTCCCTGAAGCTAAAAAAAAAAAAAAAAAAAGGGTATGGACAGAGTGTCACAGCAAATTCAACACCAAGTCAAGAACTCAGTATTTGAGACAAAGCAAAAAGGGATCATTAATTTCGTAATTATGGAAACCGTGATTTCATGACAACCCCTTCATGTATAAAAACCCATCTTAGTCCTGACATAACAGAATGTTTGAACAAACTTTCCGCGTTCAGCAGCAATTTCTTGAAATCAGTCAGATATGGCCTCCTAACTTGCTTGATACTGTTTCCAGAAAGAGAATTAAGACTAAAATAGCAAACCCTATGGCAAATCGAGCGGTTCCTCTGGCAGGAGGCCAGCACCAGGGGCAGCCTCAGACTGGCCTGGCTGCAGAGCGCAGTGTGGCAATGGGAGCTGGGAGAGCAAAGCAGCCCCTGTGCATCGCAGGGTCCGGATAGAGCAGAGATGAATGGAGCCTTTCCTTGGTGTCAAGGATGTGCTGACAGACCTGGAGAGGCTGCAGCTCTCATGTGTTCACAGCAGCTCTGGCTCGTTGAGGGGCTGTAAACCACACTTCTGCTCTCTCCTCCGAGCAGCATTTCACACACGGTGGTTTTGTAGTTTTCAGATTAACATGCAGCAGGGGACTTTGCAGTCCCTGCTTCCAGGCTGGTTCACAAAACAGCCAAATGCTAAGAAAAACCTCCAAGATGCCCTGCCTTGTGTGTGGAGTGGAGCAGGAAGCTGCCTGGGCTGCCAGAAGCCACTGAGGCTGTCTGTGGATGATTTCACAGGAAGGAAGCAAAGCCTCGCTCACCATGTGGAGAAGAACTCGCAGCTCCTGCCCCGGCACAGACACGGCCACTGCCCAGAGCCGCGCAGGGGAAAGGGCTGAGCCACACTGATAAACTCGGAAGTAAACAAGACACAAGATGAGCTTGGCTGGAGGCAGCAGAACAGCAGGAGCCCGAGACATGCACCAGGGACAACACACAGGCACCTAGAACCCGGTGAAAGTACAGCGGTGTCAGCAGCCCGAGGTTGAGCTTGTTGCTCCAGGAAGGGGAAAACATTCCTTCACAGCGAATGTGGGTCCCTGATGGCAAACAGCAGCCACCAGCTGGGAGATCATTCCAAGTGAAAGGGAAAGTGACAGGATTGGATAGAGAGTAAATAAAGATAAAGAGACTCCCATACGTGAAACTACTCTCAGCCCATATGCTGGTAATATTTTTAATTATCTGTCTCCTTAAGCACAATTTCGAACAAGATCTATCACCAGGAGGTGAACATAGCAACAGCCCGATGTGAGGCACCACGAGCACCTGTAAACTCAAAGTGTACCTGTGCCAGAGCAAGAGATCCCGACACCAAAAACCACCAAAGGATTACATCTATAGTTCTACACTGGTATTGGTACTGAAATGTGCAAATGATGTTTCACATGAAAACAAGATCCTCAACATCGGTCTGAACACACAGAGCTGTAGAGACCTGTCTGCCAGCTGTGCTAGCAAGAGCCCGGTGAGGAAGTAAAAACAGAGGAGCTGCACTTCAAGAGGAAAATAATCATCCTGATTGTCTTTCTTGATTATTGCCCCTTCAAGAGAACCAAGTCAGAGGGAAAAAAAAAACAGTGAAAAAAAAAAGAGATGCCAGCACCTAACTGTGGATCCTAAGATATAAATGTTTTTACAGAAGCATCTGTAAGAGGAGCAGTAAAAGATCTTAGTTACAGGTTCTGTATTTCCCTGTACCAGTCTTTGCTAGATTATCCCTCTAAGAAAAGACATTTTACGCAAAACCATTGATAACAGTGGCATTAAATACAGTTCCATTTATTTTGAAACTTTTCTAGAAGAAAACTAGGTGCCCGTCAACCAAACACTGTTGCTTCTACATAAGAATTCTCACCACAGAAACAGCCTAACACTAAAAAGGAAAAAAAACATTGTCTCACATGAACTGCACAAACTCGCACAGCATTAACCTGTATTTCCCCAAAGTGATATTAAGCGTCCCTAAGAGAGTTTTCTTTGCATCACGCCCACATTTACTGTGCTCCCAGATTTGCCCAAGGGACAGAGCGAGGCTGAGGACACCGAACGCTTCCCCTCAGCTCTCCCAGCCCTCCCGACATGCGGGCGCTCCACCCGCACCTCCACGGCACAACTATCGCAGCGCGGCCGCTGACGAACACGCGGCCAGCCGGGAATCCCGGGATGGAGCCGGGAGGGAGGAAATGGAGACCCCGGTCCGCAGCGGGAGCTGCACCGGCCTCAGGGCTCGGCAGAGGGAGGGGGGAGCGGGGCAGGGAAGGCGACCCTCCCCTCAGAGGGGCCTCCGGACACGCGGCCCTGCGCGGGGTGGCGGCGGCGCCCTGACCCTCCTTCCTCCCCCGGCCAGCGCGGCCGCCGCTCCAGCCAGGCCCGAGCCGCGGGGGGGGGCGAGGCGCTCCCGGGGCTCCCCAGGGACACGGACCGGGAAAGCCGCTCCGGGGGAAGCGGAGGAGGGAAACAAACCCGGGCGAAAGCTCACCGGGTCCGGCGGAGGGGGCTCCCGGGTACATGTCTCCGTGTGCGGCGGCGGAGGCGGCGGCGGCTCCAGGGGAGGGCACGGGGGAGGGAGCGAGCCCAAGCCCCGGCTACGCTGTCGGGGGAAGGGGAGGAGGAAGGGGAGGGGAGGGGGGAGGAAAAGAAAAGGGGAGAGGAGAAAAAAAAAAAAAAAAAAAAAAAGAAAAGAAAAGAAAGAGGGAGGAGGAGGAGGGCCGGGAATCCAGGTTACTCGTCGGCACTGAGGAGCGGGGAGGGGAGGAGGAGGAGCCGCGGGGTCACGGGGAAGGAGCGCTCCGCCCTCCGGCCCGGGCGGGCGGGAACGGCCGCGGCTGCAGGACAGGGATCGGCGGCGCTGAGGGGCCCCGCTCCCCGTCTGCAGCCCCGCGGAGCTCCGACCGCGTAGTCACTGAATGTGTCAGCTTGGAAAAGTCCTCGCAGATCACCGAGTCCAGCCTGTGACCTGACATCAGTCACCACGTCAACCGGACCAGAGCACGGAGTGACATGTCCAGTCTTTTCTTAAACACCTCCGGGGACGGTGACTCCACCACCACCCTGGGCAACCCATTCCAGTGTTTAATCACCCTTGCTGTGAAGAAACTCCTCCTAATGTCCAGCCTAAACCTCCCCTGGCGCAGTTTAAGACTATGTCCTGTCATCCTGTGGCTTTCAGTGAGACATTGGGAAATGACTGTGCCTCCAGCACTCTCTCCACTACCTCTCCCTGTTACATGCTTGAAAGGTATGCTGGATTTATATCAGTATTACACATACTGCTGGATCTTGAATTAAATTTGGATTTGTTTGTTTATATTCTTTTATTCCTCCTGTTGCTGTGAAAACCTCAGCTCAGTTACCTCATGGATTCCCACATCCACTTTTAGTCATATCTGTGAAACCCAGCTGTGATGTGGTTGCTTTATTGTCCTTGTCAACCAGATAATGTCAGGTACTGTACACATGTAAAATTTAATACAACCAGATAATGTCTGGTGTACTTATGTAAAAGTACATAATTATAAAAGAAATTATATGAAAGAGGGACAATACTGATCAGTATGATGCACTGAGACCCTGGAGATATCCCTGGAGGGATTTAAAAGTCACGAATGTGGCATGTGGGGACATGGGTTAGTGATGGGTTTGGCAGTGCTGGGTTAATAGTTAGCCTTGATGATCTTACATGTATTTTCCAACTTAAACAATTCTGTGATTCCACATCAGAGATGATAATTCCTGCAGGAACTCTCATCCTTTTGCAGTCACCTAATTAGTACCTCTTCCTTTAAAAAGAAAATAGGAAAAATAAACCTGCTAAGGAGGCAAAAAGCAAGTTAATGACGCTCACTTCCACTGGAGGGAGCACAGTGGATCCCTTTGCACAGCCATGATCTCTACTTTCAATCACCTCCTTCATGTTGATGTGGAAGCCTTTAAAAAATTCATGCAGTTTTCAACCCAGAACAGTCGAGCCCTGTCAAAGTCAACTGAATTCCTTCACCAAGTATTATCTGCCAAAGAGCAAGGTAAACATAGTGTTCATCAAGCCAGTTAATATCTTTCTTCATCAGTTCATATTTCAAGTGATACAGAAGCATGTCACTGTTCCAAAGTATTTACTCTTCCCTTTGGGTCATACTTGCAGATATTCAAGGGCTGCTATTAACAGCTCAGCTTTCACTTCAAGTGAACTGTTCCTGAAACCATTGTCACCACTAGAGTTTCCACTGGAGTGATTTTGGATTTGTCTCCATTCCAGGCTTCTCAAATTGCTAGAAAGTAAAGATTTACCCATAACTATAAACAAATAAAGGACAAAATTATGGGTCAACTTTAGTTTTAAAGTAAAGCCAAGCAGCTCTAGCAAAAAGATAAACAAAGGAGATGCCAAAGGGGTTGCTGTTTTCCTCCCTGTGAGGAGCTGGGTAACATTTTTGCACAACCACCAATAATTTCTGGTTTATGCTATATAACCTTACTAGACACTGAAAAAGAAGGATGGATGGGGAAAAAATCCCCCAAAACAAGAGCCAAAGAGAATTATTTGAGGCACATTTGGCCTTTCTGCTGAGGTGGCAGGAGGAAAACATGCTGTTTCTGTATCAACATTGAATTTTTTGATGCTGCATTTAAACCAAACTCTTCAACCTGATTAGGAATGTAATGTAACTTCCTCTAAGATTAGGCATGCTATTGTGCCTGTTAGACCTGCATTTAAGAAAGAAAAGGGCATAAAATACACTTACAACTTTCTGGAAATGTTCATTGGACTAATTTGGTCATCCTGGCTATCAGCACTGACTTATACTGAAGCTACAAATCCACTGTGGTAGCAGTTTGAAAATTACAAGCTAACATGCATCAGAAGACAGGTGAAATATAAGAGGAGGTTTTACAAAATACTAAACACTCATCCCACACTTCTCACTTGCTCAACAGGATGCTCTGCAATTGATTTCAAAAGTTCCTTGAAAAACAGAGATCAGTTAATGCCTCAAACATCCTAGAGTGCAACATTCTTGTACTAATTTAAAGCTGGTTTCTCTGGATTTAGCACTTAATAAGCCAAAGCATTTTTCACTGTTTATACCAGACTGTAGAACTGCAGAGTCAGCTGAATAATAAATTAAATTGTTTTATTTAAGCACAGTTTTCCCATGTGGAAGTGCTGCTGTTCCTCAGGTATATTTTCATGGTACTGAGCACTTCCAGCAGCATTTCTGTGCATCTGAGGAAAGAGAGTTCCTTTTGGAGCTCATTTTGGGCCATGTCACTTGCTTTATTTTCAATGCTTTCTGTCACTGACAACTGCTGTTTTGGAGCACAGTGAAACCTAATTATGTCTTACTGGGCGATTTCACCCAAAAAAAGGCCTCAGTTCTTCAAAAGGTTTGTTCTGAGAGGTTTGAAAGCTCTGTAACAGCATTCTTTTATGCATGGTCTTTATATGCTGTATTAACAATTATATGGTAGTATAATAACAGCTGCTTAAACACTTAAAATTAGGTTTTTCTAAAGGGAAAAAAAAAAGAGTGATTGTTGGGCACAATACCTGTCTTAACTGCTGGATTTCAAGATGACATTTCCCACAACTGACATCTGTCACAGAAGAAATTATTAATTTTGGAAAAAAGCATGTTCAAATAATTCTGGATGCAAAGATGGTATTTAGGACCAGCGTTTGAAAATCATTTATAGCAGCAGCAGCAATCTAGGGAAAATATTTTCTATACAAATAGGCCAGCTTATCTTTTGATGAGAAAACATATACTGATCTCCCTAAGAAACAACCATTCCCATTTTAAATGGAATTAATTTTAAAACCGCAGGGTTTATACATGTCTGGCAGTCATTGCTTACAGTGATACAACAGCAAAGATTTTTGCTCAGAGATGAAAGATGTAAATTTTACTCCTGACTTGGAGAGGATTTAGGCCTATATTTGCCATCTCTCAACTGGCCTAAGTTTTAAGATGTTATCCTTGAGTACATGCATTAGACCTGTCACATATTCTCCATTCTGCTTTACATAAGAATTTAAAATCAGAACCAAAGCGATGAAGTCCATGGCTCTATGTCCTAATGTGTTCACATTTTGCAAAGACTTTGAGGGTTCTGTTTCTGCTCAGGAATTGTTTGTTATTTTAACAATTAAATATTTAACGACAATTAATCCATGGTGGAGGGACCAAAACCTAATTTTTGTCTTTCTATAATCAGATAACTGTCCCAACTACCCAGCTGCAAAGCTGCATTTGATTTATTTTGTCAAATGAATTGCAATAATAATTTATTTTAAAAAAAGCAAAAACAAAAACAAAAAAAATCAAAACAACTAATTGTAATTAGATTACTAATTTCAGTTCACTCAAAAAGACAACTTTTCCAGGTGATCAGGGCCAACAGTGCAACAATTCAACTTGATGGAAAAGATGCAGCACCACCTACTGGGGATGTGTTACACACTGTGGTTATTACAGCTTTAAGACAGACCAGAGTTTTGTTCTTCATTGTAATGATCTGGTTACAAGGGGAAAAAAATAAAAACAAAAAACCCAACTAGGAACAAAAAGGACTTTCCAAAAAGAAGGTAAAAGAAGCAAATACTGTATATGAGAGTGTTCACCAAGAAAAAAACATGTCTGTAAGTGCCACATCTACATCTTTTAAACACCTCTAAGGCTGTTGGCTCACTCCTGTCCCTGGACAGCCTGTTCCAATGCTTGATCATCCTTTCCATGCAGAAATTTTTTTTAATAGTGAATATAAGCTTCCCTGAGCACGACTTGAGGCCATTTCCTCTTATCTTAGCACTTATTACCTGGGAGAAGAGACTGACCCCAACCTGGCTTCAGCCTCCTGTCAGGTAGCTCCTTCCCCAGCTTTGTTCCTTTTCTTCAGACAGGCTCCAGTGCCCTTCTTGAAGTAAAGGATCCAAATCTGAACACAGGACTCGAGGTGTGGCCTCACCAGTGCTGAGTACAGGGGGACAATCACTGCCCTAGTCCTGCTGGCCACACTTTGGTCACTGAGAAACTGCAGCCTTGAGAGCTGGAGAGAGGCGGCTCAAGGAGAGAAGAATCACCTCAGGAAGGTTATAAACAGCAACAAAACCGTTAAGAAAGGACAAAGAAAGAGAAAGGAACGATCAAGTTTCCTTGGTAAAGGCTTCATGAGTCTTTGGCCACTTGGATGAGCACCAGTGGCCTTGGTCATGTTCTAGCTCGGGCATGAACTCTGTAGTGTTCACACAGCTGATTCAGGATGAGGAGCTCAGGGCTCACTGCTTTGTGCACCATCATGACAGATCTTGCTGATGTTTTCATCTTCCTTGGCAATGCACATCCAGCCAGATCTCTACCTCTGCTCTTCACCATCCATCCTCCAAGTGTAAAATATCCACCTCAGGGAAGTTCCATAGCCAAGTTTCTTGTTTTTGAAGACAGCCCTGTGTGATCCTGTGACAGCTTGCTAGTACACAGCTGTATCATCATCCTAAACTCACCAGCCTGGAAATAACTCACTACCCTGGA